CGCCCATGTAAATTTCTAGATTGGAGTCTATGGAAATTATGAATTTCTCTAAGGCTGTTTTGGAAGAGCCTGTTCTCCTGGTACTTGGTGTGAAGTGGAGCCTCATCTCAGCTCTGGCACGGGAGCGGGGGCCCCCTGAACAGAGTGCTGGCAGGCCCCAGGAACAGAGTGCTCTGGCTGACACAATATAATTTGGAGCCATTACAATATATTGTATGTAGGACACTACTGTGGAGCTCTTAATATGCAGAATTTTACATAGTATGAATGCTAACCATTTTTACGATGATGCTATTCATATAATATGTTAATACTTGCTAAACAAAATTATGAAGCATTGCTGACTAAGACACGTAAGGAAAGGGTTACATGAAAGTCTTTTGGTTCACATATTCAATAAACTCTTCTTATCTGGATAAGGAGAGTGAGGAGAGTGAAGTTAAAATATCTTCTGAGATTGAGAGACTCTCCACCCTAACAAGGAGAAAAGTAGATCTCACAAAAACTGTCTGTCTTATCTTTAAAGCCTTTGTATAGCTGAAGAGAAAAGAATACTCCAAAAGTGTGTATGGTTAAAGGACTCCACTCTTTTTTTTTAAAGAATTTTTTTTTCAACGTTTATTTATTTTTGGGACAGAGAGAGACAGAGCATGAACGGGGGAGGGGCAGAGAGAGAGACACAGAATTGGAAGCAGGCTCCAGGCTCTGAGCCATCAGCCCAGAGCCTGACGCGGGGCTCGAACTCACAGACCGCGAGATCGTGACCTGGCTGAAGTCGGACGCTTAACCGACTGCGCCACCCAGGCGCCCCTAAAGGACTCCACTCTTACATAAAGTTGTCCTTAACCAAGATGGTGCTGTTTTAATTCCTTCAGCACGTTTGTAATTTGTATCATAACATTATGGTTTTAACTAACAGGTTGATGTGAAACTATTCTCTATAGTTATTTTATAGTTCATTAAATAACCTTTTGAGCATTTACTATGTAAAGGGCACTACTGGTTTTTTTTGTTTTGTTTTGAGGTAGACTCCATGCCCAACATAGGGCTTGAACTCACAACCCTGAGATAAGAACTGAGCCAGCCAGGCACCTTAAGAGCACTACTGTTTAACACTGCTAGAGGATATGTAATTCGTGCCCCTCAGATGGCTTACAACCTAAAAATGGGGCTAAGGCAAATATATATTGTACTATAACAAAAGGACAAGCGAAAATACTGTGGGACTTCTGAAGAGGGAGAGGTTTTATTTTGTAGATGGAAAAGAGTAAAGGAGGGGACATTTAAGATGTGTAAACTTTCTGACTTGTATAGTAGGAAGACATTCCAGGTGAATGGACTAGGAGGGGAGGCAAAAAGTATCATCTATAAAGGGAAGTTGGAAGGAGAGGTAGATTAAAGCTATATAGTATTTGGCCTTGACTATTATAGAGTTGTGCATATTTAACAAAACAGAGAACCACTGAAAGTTTGTGACTGTGGCAAATGTATGAGAGTGTTTTAGGAAAAAATCTAGTTGCAGTGTGTAAGATTGATTCCAAGAAAACACTACACCCCAGATAATGGGAACTTATAGGAAGTGGTGGGGCACCTGGGTGGCTCAGTCAGGTGAGTGTCTGACTGATTTCAGGGTCATGAGATGGGAGTCCCACATTGGGTTCCGTGCTGAGCATGGAGCCCACTTGAGATTCTCTCTCCCTCTCTCTGTCCCTGCCTCCCCCCACTCTCTTGCTCACTCTCTCTAAAAAATGGGTGATGGGCATTAAGGAGGGCATTTGCTGGGATGAGTGCTGGATGTTATATGTAAGTAATGAATCACTAAAATCTACTCCTGAAATCATTATTACATTATATGTTAACTAACTTGGATTCAAATTAAAAAAAAAAATTGGCAACTCATTGTGCACAAAGATTACTCAAATTTTTAATTTGGGTAATTAAGAAAATGTTGTTCCTACTAATGGAAGAAGCTAGAAAGAGATTGGTTTGGAAAGGTTAGGGAAATGATTTTCACTTGAGATGTGAGTCTGAAGTCCCATCCAAATATCCAAGGTAAGATATACAATGGGCAGCAGAAAATTCAGGAGCAGACATTAGGAGCCTGTAGAGGCTTCTACAGAGTCGGAGTTATGACTGAATGAACATACTGAGTTCAGAGAATATAGCCAACCTTCAGGAAATGTTTACATTTAGGAAAGAAAAAGACAACACAAAGGGAAAAAGAAGTATCATCTCCTCAACTAGATGTAAGCTCTTGAAGAATAGGTTCAGTACCTTCTTTGTATCCCTTGTGGCTTAATAAATTTGTGATTTGAATATATGGGAAATAACCACAAGATTAATAAGATTCTTTTCTACAGGATGAGGATGAAGAAGTATACAAGAGAGATTTCAGTGCACCTACTCTGGAGGATCATTTCAACAAAACCATTCTTCCCAAAGTCATGCAGGTAATGGGGTACCTTAAGAACAAGCAAGAGAGAAGTAATGTATTGAGGGCTGGGACATGATATTTGGTGGTATAAGTCATCATCTATCCTTCTTTCAGGTCAAGAACTTCGGGCGCTCTGGTCGCACCAAATACACCCACCTTGTGGATCAGGACACCACCTCTTTTGACTCAGCATGGGGCCAAGAGAGTGCCCAGAACACAAAGTTCTTTAAACAAAAGGCAGCTGGGGTACGAGATGTATTTGAACGGCCATCTGCCAAGAAGCGGAAAACTACTTAGAGTTCAACTATTTATTCTTCCGGCTGTGGGACACAAGGGGACATCTTAGCATCTGGTCCTTGATTTGATGTTACTGTTATTTACATGGCCCCTATATCCAGCCTATTGGACGTACTGCCATACTTGTGACACTAGGTAACCCAGTCTTTGAAGGTGCTTTGTGAGGTTTGGACTCATGCTGAGAAACCCACAGAAAAGCACTATCCAGGTAGGATTAGAGGCTCCCCACTTAAAACCATTTCTGAGAAATCTTAGGTTTCATCACATCTCTGCCTTCCTTCCCAAATTCACTTGGGACTATTCCAGGTTTCTTTTTCCAGCCTCTTAGATTGGGTTAGAAACATGGGCATGTAAGTGGACAATGCTACCTTATAGGAAATCTAATCTCACAGATAGCTGTTTTGAGTTTTTGGTTGGAGTCAGTTTTTCTAAGTGAACATATTTTTTGATCCATTTATGTGTGTGTGTCAAATAAAAGAATCATACACGAAGGTTTTTTATGATACTGGAAATAAAATGTGCAGGCTAACAAGAATCTACCTATTAAGTAAAATAAAAGCAGAGAATTGTTGGGCTGAGTATTTTACGTTTTGATCATCACCTTTGCTCTCAGAAACAAACTCAGATGCTAGATAGGCTATATTCTAAGTGGCACCCAGATTTACTCCATGAGCAGAAATATGTATGGTTCTCCTTGCTCTCTAAACTACAGCTGTATTTAGAACAAAAGTTGACACATGAAATGAGGAAGCTAAGTACTTACCAGTATCTTCTCCATGCCCAGCTTCTATATCAAGGATGGCACAGTGCTCTCCCAGTTGCAATGTAAGGACATCATGCTACACTTAATTTCAGTGATTTTCCACTTAATATTTACTACATAACCACCCTGCACATGGCAGAGCACTAGGAGTCAGGAGTTGTAAGGAATGACATTTAATCAGTAGGAAGGCTATTTCTCAATTACATAAAAAAATGAGAAGGCCAATGTCTTTTTACAATCTTTTAAAATGCCCCACTGGGAGAAACACTCAAATTTCTAAATGTCCTAAAATAAAAATAAGAGTATAAATTACTATGAGGTAATAAACCCATAAAGATGAGTATAGGTCACTTGTGTGGGTGCCAGAGAGGGATACAACCTAAGAGTTACCCTAGACCCAAAATGAGAATAGCCATTGAAAGTTTATTTTGAGAGAGTGCGCCCCCGTGCACACACATGAGCAGAGGAGAGGGAGAAGAGGAGAGAAAGAATCCCAAGCAGGCTCTTTGCTGTGTGCGTGAAGCCGATGGGGCTCAATCTCACAAACCATGAGATCATGACCTGAAGCAAAATCAAGAATCAGCAACCAGGTACCCCAAGGCACCACAAGACATTGACATTCTTTTAAGAACATGTTTATAGCTATTTGAGTGTCTACTCTGAGGCAGACACTAAGCTTTTTACATTCACCAACTCATAGGTTCTAAATCTATTCAGGGACGCCTGGGTGGCTCAGTCGGTAAAGTGGCTGACTTCGGCTCAGGTCATGATCTCACAGTTTGTGAGTTTGAGCCCTGTGTCAGGCTCTGCTCACAGCTCAAGCCTGGAGCCTGCTTTGGAATCTGTATTCTCCTTTCTATCTGCCTCTCCCCAGCTCATGTTTTCAAAAATGAATAAACATTTAAAAAAAATTTTAAACTCTATCAGGTATGTATCATTTTACAGTTGAAGCAGCTCAGCAAGTGAAATGGTCTTCGCTCCAGGATAGAAAATGGAATGTAAGGTAGTGTTAACAGTGGCTCAGAATTCAAATACTAAATCAACTTCATAAAGTCTTTCATAAATTAATTCTGTATAAGATCTAAGCTTTGATATCTTCTATTGCACTTACCATGTTTCTACCTCAGTATTTAAATTCTTAATTCAGTGGCTTATGAACAAGACTAGTGGCTTACATCTATATACAGTGGCTCCTTAGCAAGTACTGCTCTTTGAGTTATTCGTAAACCACTGTAGAGACCATGCCACGGGCTTCAGCAATTTTGCTGAGACTCCAAATATACCTTGAATACTGTTTAGCTAGTTAGATGAGTTGAGTTTGGCCTGCCACCTAGCATCTGCATGTGAACATGAGGTCATGAGGTATTTTTCTATACTGATCCTTCATATAATTTCATGAAATCCTGGGGGGATGAGGGGAGTTGCTTAAATTCAGTTATATTCCAACATGTAAATTTGCTACAATAAATTACAGTATGATACATATAGCACTTGATCCAAGATAATTGCAAAATAAGAATAAGTCTTTATTGAAATAAAATAATCCAGTGAGTGGGTCTGAGAAAGCAAAGATCAGTTGGTTAAGGCAATAAGAGCCTCTACCACATTGCCCATGTGTTCCCTCAAGCTCCGTTCTGCTGCTGCTCGTGAGATCTCCATCTCTGTCATCTGCAGGAAAAGGATCAATGATGTTACCCAAGCCTCTTCTGGAGTATTAAAATGCCACCAAGACTTGCTGACTCTACTTGTTTCAGTAAACAACCCCAATTACGCAATGTAAACTCCTCTGCCCATACTAGTTAAGCATTACTACTCACTATCAGCTCCAGATCTTCCTTCTTAATGGTGACTTTGGCCAGTTCCTTCTCCCTGCAAATATTCATGTACATTAATCCTCAGTCTCTAAACTCACCAGTCTTCACCATCCCAGGAAGGATCATTCCCAGCTGTGCCTTCCAAATAAATGACTTCTGACAAACACTGTTGAGTGAAAACACAAAATGACTTCCACTCCCTCACCTAACACGCCCTTCCCCTCCTGTCTGGAATCTAGGAGAGGCAGCAGGGACTGTCAGGAGGCCTTTCCTTCCAACCAACACAAGAGTAAGGCTGTAAACCTTATATATGCAGGAACTGGTGACAGAGTTGAAGAACAGTACAAGGTATAAAGGCTTAACGATGCCTTTATTTTTGTATGGGGGAAAGAGACGGACTGGTAGGGCTGGCTGCACGTACGTAAACTTACCGCTCCTGTTTGGCTTTCTGCTCCCGGGATCTTCTGTCTCCAATCACGGACATCGCCTATGGGGGGAAAAATATCTGGTTACTGCTCTGCTACCCACAATTGCTAACAATCTAAAAAGCCAGTAATAAGCGGGTCAGGGGGTCCATTCGCGATGACGAGTGTATCAGGGAGCAAGGCCTAGGTTTAATTCAATTCTGTCCACCTTAAACCCAATCTTCGTCAAGCTCCTTTTGCAAGCGGAGGGCTCTAATGACGGTTTCCCTTTTGCCTTCTCTCGCCAACTAGATGGTTCCCCGTCTTGGGAGCGAGGACAAGACGCTAAGAGGCCCCTCCGCTCTCAGCCCACCCAGACACGCTCACGGCCAACCTCACCGTCTCCAGATTGGAACTCTGGATCTCCTTCTCCTCTGCGTAGTCAGTGACTCGCTCCAAGTCCGCCGCACCGCTGTCATGCTTCCGTGGCTTCTCCGGAGGCCGCTCTGGGCCGCTGGTTTCAGTCTCCAACTCCAGCTCCACATCCCCCTCGGTAGCCATACTGATCCCACCGTGCTGCCGCAAAGGCCCCGCCCCACCTCACGAAGACTTCCGGTAACTGCCCCTAAACTTCCGCCCGGAGAGGACGAGGCGGGGCTGGCTTCGGGCCACACCTTCATTATGTTTTGGATTCTAGAAGCTTCAGCCAGGACAACAGGTCGTCTCTAGGACTTCCTTCCAGTGTTCTAGTATTGTTTTCTCCAAGGCCCTCTCCCACACCTAGCCCATCACCACTCCAGGACTTCCCAACCGACAGACATCCTTCTCTTCACCTAGATTCTACCCCCCTCACCAACACCACCGCCCCCCTGCCCCACCCAAGTAATTCTGTCCAACCAGGATGGATACGCTCTAATCCTAAACCAATTAAGAATGCTAATCCACCAGAGGCCAGATTTGCAAACTGCTCCCTAATCTGGGGAGAACAGCCTGAGTGGCATAAAGGCCAGGGAGAGAAGTAGCTTCAGAGAGACATTTGCATTTACCACATCCTGGAGGTCGGTGTTCTTTTCCTTACATCCCTCCCCATTCTACCTTAAACTGGGTGACCACCCCTATGAGGACAAAAGAAAACTGCTTTCTCATCTACCTTCCATCTGGTGGACCTGGGTCTAATGCCTGGGACCAGGATGGTGGGTGCAAAGGCGGTCACAGGCCCTAACACCTCCCTTCGCCGGACACAACGCACTGGAGTCAGCAGTGTCATGGTGAATCCTCCCTTCTATCAGGTGAGAGCGTACCTTGGAAGAGAGGCTCAGAAGGTCCCTAGAGCAAGAACTATCTGAAAAAAATGGAAGGGAACAGTGGCTGAAGCTGGGGAGGAAAACCCACAGGAGCCAATAAAGATTGATAGGCCTTCCTTTACCCTCTGAGGCCTTTCCCTTTGCCCAGAGACTACTACCTATCCCTTCCACTTCCCAGTACCAGATCTATAGGTCTACAGAAAGGTGAGAGGCCAGGTGTGACTTAAGCTTTTAGGAAGGTCTGCTCAAGCCTGCATCAGCTCTTATGATGAAAGCTCTACTTGATGTCAGTGGAAGGCAATCCTAAATAGCTTGAAACGATTCTGAGAATTCCTGAGTAAAAGGAGAGAAGAAAAGGGAAAGGGAAATTTTGGAATTCAGCCTCTTGGGTTAACCTAATGCATACATTAATGTAAGCCTTTCCTCAGCAAATCTCCACCTTTCTGCCCTACATCTGCTCTGCCCCTCAGGTGTCTTGCTGTGGGCCTACTCCCTGTACCTGCTGCTGCCATTCTAGATGGCCCCTTGTCACAGAGTCTACTTGTAGCCGCCTGATCTACATCCTCCTTCATGTGGGGGCCTCAGCAGTCTGCTGCCTTCTGCTGTCAAGGACAGTAGTGGAAAGGGTCTGGGGGAAGGCACATGGGGTAAGTGGGAGGGATCAGTTTGCAACATGAGAAAAAGGGAGAAACCCTCCATGGACAAAAGATTCCGATTGGGGGTAGGGGACAAGTGAATGGATACACCCATGAGAAGTAGGTACCTCTCTGTGTATGATGACGGGCCCTGACATTTCTCACATGGACTCTCCCTCCAGATCCAGATGCCCTCAGGGTTCTGTGCCCATCTGTTCGGCCACTCTCACTGCCCAGTGCTCAGTGGTTCTGGGGCTGTGTACCGAGTATGTGCGGGAACTGCCACCTTCCACCTGCTGCAGGCTGTGCTGCTAGTCCAGCTCCACTCCCCTACCAGCCTGCGGGCACAACTACACAATAGGTTTGTGTATATACACTTTGGGTGGGGTGAGGATGGGGAGGGAAGTAGACATAAGCTGAGTAAAGGAAATTTCAAGATGAAGTAACAGCAGTGTGAAAAATCCAAAAACAGATTTAAGTCTCTACTTCCGCCATACTTACTGTGTGACCATGAGCCACATACTTACCCCTCCTCCTTGAGTTTCTAGTTTCTAAAATGGAGATGACAATGGGGTTATTATAGGCAGACCCTTTATCAACTGTGAAACATTGTCCAGACATTATTTAGGTATAAGAGTTAGAATTTGGAATAGGCTGCGATGGACCAGTTTCTAGGCCCTCTCACATGGGACTGCTTCCTCCTTTCCTATACTTAGTTGTCTCTTCTCTCCTCTTTCCTATAGTTTTGGTTTCTCCTTTGCCTTCCTCCATAGGCACTGTTCACTCTCCTTTGCCTTTTCTTGAGTCTTGTTTTGTCTCCTAACCAGCTTCTGGTTCCTCAAACTGCTGTTCCTGCTAGGTCTCTGTGCTATTGCCTTCTGCATCCCTGATGAGCATCTCTTCCCAGGTACCTTCCATCTCATATCCTAATTAGCAGGAGTAACCTGATAGTTTTTCTAAGAGAAAGAGAGGGTAGGAAGAAAACCAGAAGTAATGATATGAACAGCTACATTTTCCCACTGGTGCCCCACTTGTAGCCTGGCATTACATTGGCATCTGTGGAGGCTTCACATTCATCCTGCTGCAGTTGGTGCTTATCACAGCCTTTGCCCATTCCTGGAACAAAAACTGGTAAGGAGCACCTCTAACCCCAAAGGTTCTTCTTGGGAAGGTTGTCTGACATTACTAGCCTCAGTGGGTTAGGCAAAGGGCATGACAGGTCAGTGGTCCCATTAACTTCCCACTGAGCATTACCAAAAAGCTCAGTAATGTGATGACTCTGTGGGCTAGGTAGGATGAGTAATCACACCAGTGTTCCAGGAGAGGAGGAATAGTAATGGGTAGAAAGAAGTGGAGCCCCAAACCACTGCCCACATCCTACCCTTAGGCAGACAGGTGCAGCCCAAGACTGCCGCTGGTTCCTAGCTGTACTGCTGGCCACCCTGGGATTCTACAGCATTGCCGTTGTGGCAACTGTGCTCCTGTTCCACCACTACACACATCCAGCTGGCTGCCTGCTCAACAAGATGCTGCTTAGTCTACACCTTTGTTTCTGTGGCCTCCTCTCCTTTCTCTCCATCGCTCCCTGCATCCGCCTCAGTGGGTACATGCCTTGCAACATTACAAATCTGGAAGGCCTTTAGCATAGAAATATTCATTAGCCTCCCTAATCTTAGTCAATTGTCTACTTCCTCCAAAGGGTGGGGCTATAGTGTAGATGGGGGCAGAGTGGAAATTACTACCCTGTAAACTAAAGCAATTATCTCCATTCTCCGCAGAGCAACCCCGTTCTGGCCTTCTACAGGCCTCTATCATCAGCTGCTATATCATGTACCTTACCTTCTCTGCACTGTCCAGCCGTCCTCCAGAGAGTGGTAAGGACCAGACCTGGACTCTCCATGCTAAAACCTTTTGTTCCTGCCAAATACTTAGTTCTTTGTTCTTACCACCTTTCTTCTGTTGCTCCTTCTCAGTTATCTTTGAAGGACAGAACCACACTCTGTGCCTGCCTGGCCTGAGTAAAATGGAATCGCAAACACCATATACATCGCTGGCAGTGCTGAGTGCTGGCATCATGTATACTTGTGTGCTTTTTGCTTGGTGCGTAAAAGTATCAAGGGGAGAGGTATGAGAGAAGGGAGGATATCCAGGACAGAGAAGGATGGTCAGGAGACTGTCTGGGATCATGGTTTATTTGAACTTGAAAGCAAGACAAGAGTGAGGAAAGTTCCCCATAAACAGAAACAGTTTCTAAGAATAGCACTTGTCAGATGATCTGTATGAGATGAAGGGGGCAGGGAGAATGACTTGAGAATTAAAAATATGTACAAAGATTTTTAGGGCCCTCACATGACGAGATTTATAAATCTTTATGGTGAACGGGCTCTGGGAATACAATACCCTCCTGAGAATTACCAACATGGACCAGCTAGCAATACAGTCTCAGGCAACTCTTGCTATTTGACTGGACCTGCTTGAGAACGGTCTCTTCTTTCTCAGCAATGAGGCTTCCTACCTGGCTGAGGTATTTGGGCCCTTGTGGATCATCAAGGTTTACAGCTATGAGTTCCAGGTGAGGATGGAGAGCTCAATATCCCCAATGCCCTTCCCCCCTCACACACAAAGACAAACACACACACACACCCTACCAGCCTCTACCCAGAATACTCAGATTCTAGCTGCTATTACCTTTTATTGAGTACCCACAATGTGCTAGGCACTGTGCTAGATACTTTACATTCATAATCTCTTTTAATTTAATCCTCACAACAACCCTGTGAGGTAGGTATTTGCTCCATTTTACAAATGGAGAAATTGAGGCACAAAAGGTTAAACATCTTACCAAAGTTTTCATAGCCAGTTATATGCTGGAGCTAGAATTTGAACCCAGATGTGCCTCCACTTTGTATACCAGCCTATCTTTTCAGAGAAGGGGGAGTTTTCTATATTAATACCCTCACATTCTTTCTTAAAAGTCATTCCAAAACATGCTGCCTTTTGTTTTACAGAAGCCCTCACTCTGTTTCTGCTGCCCTGAAACAGTGAAACCAGAGGAAGGTGAGTGTCCATAAGAATGTCCATTAGAAAATGTAGACTTCTGCAGAGTGCCAAAGAGCCCTGGAGCGCCTTCACAAAAGAAACTGGGGGAGGAGGGAAGAAGTGTTTCAGTGGCACTGCTCCCAGCAGCCCTTCCCTCTCTCCAGGGCAGAGGGGTGGGGCTACCAGGCCAACTGACCAAGAGACCTCTCCAGCTCCTCCAGTGCAAGCCCAGCATTTCTCCTACAGCTATTCTGCCTTCCATTTTGTCTTCTTCCTTGCATCACTCTATGTCATGGTTACCCTTACCAACTGGTTCAGGTAGGATGGAAGTGGGCCTGGGCCATACTTCTGAAAAGCTATTTTAGGAAGAGCAACTTAAGGCCAGTCCTAAGGGTTCTCTGGAGACAAACATGGGTCTGCCATCATCTTTGGTGGGGAGGTAGGACAGATCTAAAAGCTAAGGTCCTACATATTCTCTAACCAGAGACTTTGGTTCCACAGCTATGAGGGAGCAGAACTGGAAAAGACCTTCACCAAGGGTAGCTGGGCTACCTTCTGGGTCAAGGTTGCCTCATGCTGGGCCTGTGTACTCCTCTATCTTGGGCTGCTCCTGGCACC